CAGCACGCGAGACTGTGTATCGGAAATTCTAAACATACACTGTTTTTAAATATTTTGTAATATTTCTGTTGAATTGAATTTTACGTGTTTTAAGTGATAAGAATATGATACTTAATAAATAAAAGTAACACACAAAACGTAAAAAAAGGTCTTTTGGGTGTAATATAAAATCTGAAGGCTTTCAGATTTTCTTTTTATATGACTTTTTAGCCCAAGATGCGTTAGCCTAGAAAGGCTATTAATTTCGTTTTTGACATTTTGCGTCAATTCACTATAAACGGCGAATCACTTTTCAAATTATTGTCACCAAATATTATCGCAATGTGTTATATTTAAAGAAATTAAGTAACGAAATATCTGCATAAATATGTACGTTTCTCGCATTGTGATAAAACAACGGCACCTAGATCTATCAAATTTTGAATGACGTAAATCTCCACCGTATATGGGAATCTGGAAGCCCAAATTTGGAATTTGTTTTATTATCGATTTCATATTTTGTAACACTTTAACGAATTTTTTATTAACAAACTCAACTATTTCAAAGCGAGCAATTCCAAAACACACACATACACAAGGAAAAAAAAAAAAAAAAAACTGTCTGCAGAGCGCGAGACTTTGTATCGGAAATTCTAAAGACAGGCTCATTTTAAAATTATTTTGCGATTTTGATGTTGAATTGAAAAAGCCCTTTGGGCGTAATGTAAAATCTGAAAGCTCTCAGATTTTTTTTATTACTTCTTATTTTGTAAAATTAACAAATTTTTTATTAACAAACTCTACGACTTGAACGATATGAAAGTGAGTAATGGCAACACTTTTCGAAATAGCGCAGATTTTTATCGCCAGTGTGCGAGACTGTTGTCACTCGAAAAAATGAGTGCGAAAATTAGTGTTTTCAGAGTTTTTAATTAATATCTCGTGTAATTAAAGTCGTATGGAGATGAGAATAGTCGAAATGGTTTCTCACGAATTTTCGAAATCTAGGAGTACTTCTCTCGAAACTCAAGACCTCATCTTGCTGGGGGAGAAGAAGGGGAAAAAATAACAGACAGACAGACGCTGTAACAGCTTTAAATAATATTAAAATCTTGTAGTTTAAATAATTTAAATAGATGAACATTAAGGTATTTGTGAATGGCAATATTTGAAATCAGACTCGAGTGCCACGTGCGACTCTCGCACGAAGAATGTAATTTATTTTTAAATGTTAGAATATGTTTTCTCTTCTTGTTTGTATGTCGCCATTTTTGAGTGTTAAATAAAAGTTATTGCTGTGTTCCATCATTGGAGTTGCTTCATATCGCCAAAGAAGCATCACAACGCGCACAGATCTTAATAGTATAGATGATGCTGTTAAATATTTTGTGATACTGCTGTTGAATTTAATTTTATGTGGTTTAAATGCGAAGAACATCATATTTGATAAATAAAGGTAACACACAAAATGTTCAAAAAACGTTCAAAAGCTTTCAGATTAATTTTGTTTTGTCAAATTTTGTTACGTATTTCGCTATTAGGCACTGCACGGAATGGAAGAGATGACCCGTGGAGGACTTTTTTAAGGGAAACTGGCTCATATCCACGTTACACATGGATAAAACGGACATGCATTCAATCGAACCCCAGACCGAACTACCAGCGTTCAGCAGCTTTTAACACTCGGTCGCAGGTGGCTTGATGATGTATTAGGTAACGAACAAATATCAAGTTAAATTTTCATAATTATCAACTGGATGCATTATAAATTAAATGCATTTTAATTATATCTATTATTAAACCATAAATAAAGATCTGAATTGTTAAAGAGCTGGTTTATTGCTTTTCAATCTCTTAATTTGTGAAAGATTATTCAAGATCTGAAAAAAAAAATAATTAAATTCTTTTACGTCATTCTAAATGCCAATGTTCTAGGACCTGTTCTTTCAGAATGCGCGGAAGATAAAAGAATTTTATGTCTTACTCAAGGATGACAATTGCGAGGTAATGGGATAATAATAAATGGCTAACGTTCCGGATAAATTAGAAATACTCTTTTAAAGATGTTTTTAGAGTTAATAATATTTATTAACATGTTTAATTAGCGCAGATTACACCTTGGCATATATGGGTAATTTTACACACTAGAAAGCTAGCGTAGCTATATGTAGATTAGCGTATGTATGTCCTTTTACGGAACAGAAAACTACTCTGAATACAGTCATGGTAACAAACATGCAAGATTCATTAGGACCACTTATTAAGGATCTCAATTTTTTTAATGTCAACCAGTATTTTTATTAAAAAAGACTAAGCAAACACAAAATAATACATTTTAAATTAATTTTCTGCCTCACCTCATGCTCTTAACTCCTACCACGTCAGACTTCCTACCGTCATGTGCCTACTGGCTCTCCTCATGAGCTGGAAACAGCGCGCTTCTCGCGCTACTCCAGCCATACTTGTTCGGATCGGATTTAAATTAATTTGTTTAATGAGTATGTAATTTTGAAGAATGATATATTAATATACTCAGTGACGTCTTTTTGTTGGACATGTTAATACTGAATACATTAAAAGTAATGCTATTTCTGTCGATGAATCGATGCAATGATAAATGTTAAAGAAATTACGAAGGTGGTTAGAATAGAAAATTGCTAATGTAATGTATGTTTCTTAAATTATTTTTGTTCAGAGAAATTTTCAAGATATTTTTTAACCAGACTTCATAAATAAGCACGATAAAAAATACCGTTAAAGGAATATTTATTAATGAAATATTATAGTTGCCTTTATCATACTTTTCTAAAAATCCTAATTATACATTAAATAATTATTATTAATTTCGAAATAAATTGAAAAAAAATTCTGAAAGCTTTCAGATTTTACATTACGTCCAAAGGGGCGTTTTTTTTTAACGTTTTCTGTGTTACTTTTATTTATTAAATATCATATTCTTCGCACTTAACCATAAAATTCGGTTCAAAAGTAATATCGCAAAATAATTTTAAAATGAGCATATTGCCGTACAGTGTTGCCATTGCTCATTTTGAAATCGTTGAGTTTGTTAATAAAAAATTAGTTAAAATTTTACAAAATATGAAATAGATAATATAACAAATCCCAAATTTCAAATTAGGGCTTCTGGATGCCCATATTCGGTGGAGGATTACGTTATTCAAAATTTGATGTCTCTAAAGTACCGTTGTTTTTTAACACTGCGAGAAACATACCTACATTCATGCAGATTCTTCATTAATTAATTTCTTTAAATGTAATGCAGAGCTCTAATATTTGGGGCAGCAATTTGAAAAGTGAACCGACATTTACAGAAGCAACGGAAAATGCCAAAACGAAATTAATAGTTCTTCTGGGCAAATTGTCCCTTTGGACTAATAATCTTAAGAATTCAAAAGTATATTTTGGAAAATGGGATTTCAGTTTGTTTAAAAACGTATGCATTTATTATCTAAAGACGGTTAAGAACATTAGTTTTCCTTCCCATAGTCTGAAGTCCCTTTCCGACATTAACTAACAATAATTTTGACTCTATGTAATTTTTAGTGCAAAGGGGCTTTGTCTCTGAGGGACTATTGTTTTCGTTTTGCGATTTTGCATCCAATCACTTTGAATGTTCGTTTCCCTTTTCAAACTGTTGCCACCAAATATTATCACTCTGTATTATATTTGAAGAAATTAAATGATGAAGAATCTGCATAAATGTATATATGTTTCTCGCATTGAGATAAAACAACGGCACCCAGAGCCATCAAATTTTGAATGACGGAATCCTACTGCGAATATGGGCATCTGGAAGTCCAAATTTGAAATGTGGATTTTGTTTTATTACCGATTTCATATTTTGTAAACCTTTAACGAATTTTTGGTTAACAAACTCAAGGATTTCAAAGCGAGCAATGGCAACATTGTACAGAAAAAACATTTTTATCTACAGCGCGCGAGACTGTGCATCGGAAACTCTAAATATATGCTCAATTTAAAATTATTTTACGATATTGCTCTTGAACTGAATTTTATAAATTAAGCGCAAAAAACATGATACTTAATAAATAACGGTAACACAAAATATTAAAAAAACGCGCCCTTAGGACGTAATTTAAAATCTGAAACCCTTCAGATTTTCTTTTTAGTCCAAAGGGGCTTTGTCCCTGAAGGACTATTGTTTTCGTTTTGCGATTTTGCGTTGAATCACTATAAATGTCCGTTTTACTTTTCAAACTGTTGCCACCAAATGGTAGAGTCCTACATTATATTTGAAGAAATTAAATAATGAAAATTCTGCATAAATGTTTGTATATTTCTCGCATTGTGATAAAACAACTGTACATAGAGCCTTCAAATTTTGAATGACGTAATCCTCCTACGAATGTGGGCATGTGGAGGACCAAATTTGAAATTTGGAATTCATTATCGATTTCATATTTTGTAAGACTTTTTCGGAACTCGCTTTCAAATCCTTGAGTTTGTTAATCAAAAAACGAATTTTTGATTAACAAACTCAAGTATTTGAAAGCGAGCAATGGCAACACTCTACGACGGGGAAAAAAAAAAAAAAACTTTTTTTATCTCCAGCGGGCGCGGAACTGTGTATTGGAAATTCTAAAGATAAGCTCTTTTAAAAATTATTTTGGGACATTTCTACTGAACTGAGTTTTATGGTTTAAAGTGGAAAAGAACATTAATAAATAAAGGTAACACACAAAACATTAAAAAAACGCCTCCTTTGGACGTAATTTAAAATCTGAAACCTTTCAGACTTTTTTTAAAATTCTTTTTTTTTTTTTTTTCTCATTTCATTATTTTTGGAGATGCATGAAACAGAACGCGCAGGTGGGAAAAGGTGGAAAAAAAAAAAAAAAAAAATAGAACGCTCTTACATGGAAGTCACCGATTTGGCGACTGTCGTCTGCTGTTGGCGCGATCACAACATCAGACAGCTGCGCTTCCTCTCTGCGCATCATACAAACCTAAACCGCGTGTAGATCGCATACTTTTTTCTGACGGTTTGGTTGCGACGTGTGGATCCCATCATTTGTATAATTTGCTTATTTCATGGTTCATGAGTGTAACCTATTCTGTTCTTTGGGAAACGCATGTGCTTCCTCCATCAAAAAATCGTTTTCGGAGATATTTTCGATTTATAATGTGCTTTTGATCGGATCTGAAATAAATACGGATTCAAATGATGTCGAGCTGTGTTTAAGGATTAAATGAAATTATTTTCTTGTTTGCCGTACCACTCCAGGAATCTCGCATGCCTAACATTCCCCTGAATCAGGCTATTAGTCGTTTTCGTAACTCATATTCAATGATTTTTGGAAGAAGAACCTCTCCTGCTGAAGATGACGAGCAGGTAAGTTGAACGAAGTGACCCCAATTAACATTGTTTGATTATTATTACGAAACACTTTGGTATGCTAATGAACGTTTTCGATCGTTGCAAGTCGAGTTTTTTTATATTGTACCTGATCTCGCGCTTATTTAATGTACGTGTTAAAGGTTCAGAAATGTTTCTGAGTTATAATATGTTTGTTAAAATATGGTACATATATATATATATCTTTGAGCAAATATTTACAAAAATACTTCCTTATCATCAGTCATGACATTCCAGCAAAATATGCTGTGTATTTATCGTATATCCGTCAAGCTCTTCTCTAATATTATGTGAATTTATGTACCGCTAAGTAAGTAAAGAAAAGGATATTATTCTGTTCATAAAAATATGGAAATTGTAAAATTTTGATGTAATTTCATGAAGTGAGGAAACTTTTTCACGTAGCCTGTATTTTTAAAATGTCTTAAACTTGTGCACTATCAATTTTTTTTTTTCCATACTTGTATTCTAGCATTAATAGTTTGCTGAAAAATTCCATAATAATAGTTATTTTAATTATACTGTAATTTGTTATATTTACAAAAAGTTTAACCCCCCCAGCAATCATTTAAGCTTGACCGTATTTCTCTGTTGCCTATGGCATGAAAAAAGGAGTCCATTATTTTAATATTTCTTTCTATAATGATGAATTTGACTTTTTAATAATACCTAATATAATTTTTAATAAACAAAGGAATTTAACTGAAGTTCTCAGACTAAATTTTTTAATTGCTATATATAATAAATTAAATTGCTATCAGTCATTAATTCCTATATATAATAAATTGCTATCATTCATTAATTAAATGGCTATCTATTGTAAATTCTTGCGATTTATTATTTTGTGAAAATACTGCTCTTCGACCCCATCCATTTAGGATTTAAAATTATCTTGTTAAATTTGTATTGAAGTGCACTTTTTAATATTGATAATGACTGGAAATTAAATAATCCTTCAAATCTTGATAGTGATTTAACTCACTTAAACTTACTGGTATAACTTTTTTTTAAATGTATGATTTCGAACATGTTCCTTTAATAATTTCCAGAAATTTACAGTGGACGTATGGTAGTAAAGTGCACTTTTTAATACTGATAATTATTGGAAATTAAATAATCCTTCAAGTCCTGCTAGTGATTTAACTCACTTAAACTTACTGGTATAACTGTTTTATAAATGTATGATTTTGAACATGTTCCTTTAATAATTTTCAGAATTTTACTGTGGTATTAACAAAGGACATGGAAGATCAATATTTAATTGTTGTTGACGATAATAATTATATTAATAAAAGCTTTTAAAATGAATGCAAAATTGAATCATTTTAGACATTTGTTTGTATTTCCTTGTTAGGTCATTTTGATCTGCATTCCGCTGTATTCCTAGTATTGTTTATTAAAATTTTGTAAAGGATGTCCACAGGGATGGATTAAGATTTTTAGAAGCACTTAAAAAATTTTGATGTCCCCTACATAAATTTATGCCTCTCCCTGTTTCTTCTTTCTGGATTTTAGTTTATTTGCACTATATATTTCATAGTAAGATCAGAAATGGGAAATTTTTACGGTGTCTCCTTTTCGTTAATGCCCTAAGCATGTATTTAATTTGCAATGGTTAAGCCAGCTGTGGGTGTGTACAGGTGAATGGCTTGTCTAAATTTTGAAAATCTTCATTATAAACAGTACAATAAAAAGCATTTTTTTATTTTTTAAGATTTTAAATAGTCATATTTTCAAGTTAAGAGTAATTGTCTACATCGGCAGTTCTAAACTTCAGAAAATTTATATTTAGCATTAATTAGAAAGAAAATCAGTTTGACTAATTTTGATGTGACTGTTACTATTTTAAATGCATTTTAAGTGTAATGTAGCTAGTCCCACCCACACTTGTCATATTAGGTGTGCATCAAATGTTGCCGTTCCCTTCTTCGTTATGTCACATCGTACTACATGCGGTGACTGTATTTTCAGCATTTAGTGAATAATCAAGTCACTTATGTAGCTTTCTTTTTTAAAATTGTGATATGCAAACTGGTTTGAGACTAGAGCTTTGATTTGTAGTTTTTTAAAGATACAAATTGTTAAGTGTTGTTTATATAAAAAATGGATAAATAATTAAAAAGTAGATCTTTGCACAGGACAGAACTACTTGTCACAAATAGTTTTGATTTGGTGTTTGTCTCAAGCATGTTTTGGACGACTATCCATTTCAAATGAACTTAAAAAATTCACTGTGATGAATGGCTTCAAAAACTTACATAACTGTTCAGTTCTATAACTGCTTTCAAAGTGTCTGACAAAACTGATTCTTTACTCAGGATGCTCAAAAAGTTGTATTTCTGGGAATCATTCATTAAAAATATTAAAAAAATTAGAGACACTGAAATATTTAAGATATTGTACAAATTCTTGTCAGAAAAATTAGCCTTAATTTACAAACAAAGTCAAAGAGATCGTTAGCAACATCCTTAAAAGGCATTCAAAGATCTTTCAAACATTACTTACCCAAATGAAGTGAGAAGGACAATTAGATTTTAGATCCTCTCAAAATTCAATTAAAAAAAGTCTCAAAATTAACATTCTCTGAAAAAGAACAGCTTATACATTTCTGACTTTATTCACTTCAGTTTATTAATTTTATGGTATTAAAATAAAGCATTGTGAGAGTACTAAATGCTAGGGGGTACAGGTTCTTAAGAAGGAGATTAGGGTGCTTAATAATTGGTCTGTGACATTAAGGGGTACGTGAAATGTTTGTCTCGTTAATGGGCATGTGAAAGAAAAAAGGTTGGGAGCCACTAATCTACATAGTTACACTGCGTAAGAAAATACATCAAAATGTAATCTACGGAAAGAAAAAAAAAAAAAAAAACTCAATCAAAAGTCACAATTAATTGTTAAAGATGAATGAATAGTCACAGATTTTTTTCCTAGTACAGGGAGGGCCTCCATAGAAATGCAATCTGTAGAAAACTTCATGAATATTTTATCTATGACAGATCTGCTATTGCTAAGTATTTAGCATAATAAATGAATGCTGATATACTAAAAAAGATATGTATGCAGTGTATAATGAGTGGGAAAAAATTTATTTTAATGACTAATTAATTTTATTACTTCCAAACTGAAAATTTTGTGTGGGAAACCTTCAAGAAGGCTTACAATACTGCATCTGCAGTCAGCTGCCAAAAATGTAGGTAGTTTCTGTGATGTTTAAAATTAAGCATTGGTCTCTAATGATCTGACAAGACCATGTCTTCCTTTCAGCTTGCCGTCTTATTTAAATTGTTGCAGTTTTCACTAAAGAATGTATGATTATTTTAGCTGATACAATTTGTCAGATTCCATCTGTAGGACAGACTTTTTCTCCAGATATTTTGCAAGTTGATAAAGTGCCTATATGAAGGACGTAGATTCCTTTTACTGAATGATAGGATTAATTTCATTATCAGTCATATTCAAATCAGACTCAATTGAACATCTGTGAATTGCTGAAAAAAAATGTCAAAGAATTGAATATCTTCTAGCTTTGAAGCAGTTGGCAGCTTTTTGAAAAGAATAGTGATATATTTACTTCACTGGAGGAAGTTCATAAATTATACATTCCAGTTAGAAGCCCTTTTAAAGGCAGGTGTTGATCTTATCCTTTGTTAAAGAAAGAAACAACATCGACTTCCAAGACGTTCATATTATTTTGTTCAGCCTGTGTACTTTATTTCAGTGAGCATCGAAAATGAACTTGTATAAAACTTTTTTTATGTATAGTTGCTGTTTTATGACATGAATACAGAGTAACATCTTTCCTTTTTTGCAGACCCCTTTTTCTAAATGCTAAATTTTAAAACTATGTTTCTAAATTTCAGTTAAGGTGAAACTGAGGAAAGGAGAGTTAATGAGACTTTTTGGCAAATTCTATTAAGAAAGAATATTATGCATAAATACATGTAAATTTATTTAAAGCAAAATGTTAATACATCTATATTAATGTTTGAATTTTGGTAGGAACATATTTGAATAATTTTTAGAAATCATGAAATTAAATATGAATGCATTGTGTACTCTTAAAGCTAAATTTCAGATACTGTTTTAATTAATACCAGTGGAAGTAAATGGTTATATTCTTACTTGAAATACACTTGTCTAATTTGCTCCTTCTTGTAAAGGAATATTTTTGGCCTTTCTTTTGTAGAGAAAAGAAGTAGTGACATATGAATTTATGAGATTAAAAAAGGAAAGTAGTCTTACATCACCATTTGAATAGGTGATTAGAGGTGATAGCACATCTGGATTGTTAAAGGGTTTGAAGCACTTGGAATGATTGTAATATCACATCAGTTTGGAGTACTTTTAATTTAAAATATTATTCTATTGCAACTGTTTGGCAATCACAATGAAAATTATTTTGATACATAAATGTTCAGACATAATCAAAATCAGGAAATTCATACTTTTAGTTAAATATTTAAATCAGAAAATTGGGTAAAAGTATAGTTTAGGGTACTCCTTGGCGATTTTTGGCGGTACATGGATACTGATTGTGTGCAATTCTTTGACTCGTTATTTTGGCTTGCGAAGAGGCGGCCGCTACACAAAGCTAAAATAACAAGACAAAGAATTGCACAAACTCGTTATTCATGTGAACATCGACTTATTTTCACTTACCCCCCTCCTCCGAATTGCACAAAAGTGGCATTGCGCACTCCTTTGACTTTATCCATATACACGTCGACCTATTTTCACTTTAAAAAAAAATCCCCGAATTGCACAAAAATGGCATTACACATTCCATGTACTTTGCCCATGCATACATCGATATATTTTCACTTAAAAAGTCAAAGGAGCACCAAATTCTACAATATAGGCAAACAAAAAGTACATAATCTAATCTCGATGAAATACATTTTAAATCAAACAATAAAATAACATAAAAAAGGAAAAACATATTATACATTTAAGCACTACCAAAAGCAAATCAC